AACACCATTAATGAGGGGCTATGAAGCTTTATACCTACCAAGTATTTGATAAAATGCCTAAGTGGCCAAAACATGAGTATTATTGCTAATATGGAATCCCTTTGACTTGTATCGATATAGACTAACGATGAAAGGGTTGGCGAATGTTATTTTACACTCAAGAGCAGGAAGTTAAGGTATGTGAGGCTAACTCTCTGTGTTTGGGAATATTAATGATTTTCCCTACACTACGTTTCTTTTACAACATTACTACTTGCCTCAAAAATACAGTTAAGCCTAGTTCCTTGATTAGTTGCAAAACTTCTATTATCTAGCTTCATAACTCGTTCATGACTTTTATTTTGAACGTTATGAGCTCAGTGCGTAATCAATATAGACTTGGGTTTGATGCCCATGAGTCTCAGTCTAGATTACTCAGCATGTCATAAACAACTGAAGTTTCAGTTTTCATAATCAGTTCAAGAATACATGTCTCAGTCTAGTCCTATTTAGTATTCCAGTATCATGTAACTCAATATGATTCAGTATTTCAGCATCACATATTGTAGTATGATTCTCAGCTTCTGAATTTAAATCCCTAAATGTTGAACACCTGTATTGGACTTGTGGCCGTAGTTTATATGCTTTATGCATACTTGGGCCTGAGGCCGTAGTTTATGCTTTATGCATTTTTGGGCCTAAGGCCGTAGTTATGTATACATATACTTGGGCCTGAGGCCGTAGCTTATGCATATATATATTGAGCCTGGGCCCGTAGTTTATTTAGATAAATAGGTTGTTCATCATTCAGAAGAGGGAGTATTCATATCCTTACTTCCTTTGTTCAGTTCAGTTATCATTTCAGTTATCAGTTATCATTTCAGTTATCAGTTATCAGTTATCATTTCAGTTTTAGTTTTAACAGTTATCATTTCAGCTATCAATTATCAATTCTCAGTTATCAACTCAGTATAAGTTTCAGCATTTATATTTCTTTCTTTCAGTTGCTTTACATACCAGTGCAATTCAAATTTACTGACGTCCCTTTTTCCTAGGACCTGTATCTCACGATGCAGGTAATGATTTACTGGTTAACGATTCAGAGCGCTAGGATTCTCGTACCAGCTATTTGGTGAGCCCTAGTTCTTTCGGGGCATTATCATTACCTTACAATCTTTAGTATTTTTTAGATAGTCAGTGTTTTCAGTACTTCATTAGAGGCTTCATAGACTAGAGTAACAGTTAGCTACAGATACGTTTCATACTTATGTTAGTATTTTCGCACTTGATTTATATCATTCAGACTTTCAGTATATCAGCATGTGTTAGTTTATCTTCCGCATTCAGTATGTTATGATATTACATGTTGATTTCGCCAGTCAGTTAATTTGCTCGGTCACATGTAGTCAGGCACCGGGTGTCGTGTTACGTCCAGGCCCAGGTTTGGGGCGTGACACATAAGCACCAATTCTTACCTTTCACTTTAAAGGAGTTTGTTCTATGAATTTTGCCCTAATTGTTTCAATTTTTGGTCTTCCCATGGTAAATTTGCCGCCTAGTGTCCATTTACAGTCTTCTGCCATAACCCTATAACAATCTGGTGCTTTGAAGATTACCGTTGACTTTCCATTATGAGTCGTCTGCCTCGTGATTACCATCGATTTGCTCGAATTTAGGGTTCCAGAGATAGCCTTTACATAAGATCCTTTCGATTCAATGGCTTCCGTCTAGGCACTATACCAATGGNTAGGTACGTGTAAAGAATGAGAAAGTTATCGTTGAGAGGATATTTTTAGAGAGAGAAATTTTTTGTTCAAGTGTTAAAAAAGAGCTTAAAATTAGATTTCTCGGGCTTAACCATGGTTAACTATTTTTATATATCAACTTAATCATGATCAATTGAAATGTAAATATTTGGTGTGAGTAAGTTTTTATCCCCCTGCTTCCTTTGTCCATAATGTATTAATGTAAAAAATCTTTATGCAGCTAGTTATATAAGTTAAGTTTCATATTCAATGTGACTTCAGCTAAGACTTAGTTTAAAAGAAATTTTTTACAATACATAAAAAAATAATTATAGATAAAGTGGATACGTACCCTAATTAAATTAGGTAGATTTCCTACTACAATAAATTAAATTATATTAATTAGGTAAAAATATTTTACACTTAGTCAGTTAATTATAACCTGACTCTGAAGTTTTCTACTAGGTAGAGTGTTTCAAAAATACGTTAGAATACAGTGTGTGATAGTTCAATTCTACATAGTTCTGTGATCCACCTTAAGTCAATCTATCCAAAGAGTTTACCCTATAATAAATTCAACTAAAGCTGCGCTTGGTTTATTTCTCAATTATGAACACGAACTTACTACTTAAATCACAAAAGGCGCTTTTTCTCACTATTTATTCAATTCCAGTGACGGTGCAAGTGTATATAAGGTAAACCCCAGATATAAATACAAGATCAACCAAATAACAAGTGGGGCACAAAGTTAATTGTATTATTTCCTTATAGAAGTACATCTCTTTGACACACTAGTATATTTCACAATCAATTCCGGAGCAAAGGCAGAGCCATGATTTAATGTTTATGGATTTTAAATTTGCTGATAAACTCATAGCTCGTCTGTTATTGAGTTTGTAATTAGTATATAGTATTATTTAATGAATTTTCTAAATATAAATATAGTATCTAAGGCGCACAAGCTATTGACTTCGTCTGAACTCGTATCTAACATCTAGCTCTACCTCTATTCAGGAGTGTCTCAATTAGGTAAAATCTTTCTAGTAGCACTGTATCTCTTGCAGCTAGTATATCAGCACTGGAAACAACTCCACGGCATGCATCCTCAACAGCATTCTTAATTTGTGTCTATCACTTCGAAACCTCTTGCCGAGTTCAAGTTCGCTGCTGCAAACTTCTCACTTTTGTTACTAAATCTATTGTTTTTTGTTTGAACTTGGAACTATGTATGCATAAGCGAAATGAATTTAAAGTGTACTGATAAAATAAGAGCAGTCACTTTGAACTAACTAACTTCATATATTGAATTGCCTCACCCTTTTTTTTCAAGAGAATAATTTAAAACTATGAGTCTTAGAGGCTTCAATTACCAAACAAATAAAAGGGAATACAGAAAGAAGGAGATTCCTTTTTGGATTTTCCCTCAAACTACAAAGGCCACATCTAATAAGACACGACAAAATATGAGAACACCATATTCCACATAAGATAACAAGTTTAAGTTCTGAGCACTATGGTGCATGAAATGTATATTACAATCAAATTGCTTAAAATGCAATACGGACAATTTTAATTAAAAAGGTATTGATTGATAAGCTAAAATAATTTGTAACTAATCTGGGTTAAAATATACTCATAGTGGGAAAATATTACCTGAATCCTAAAATAATGCATTTTCTAGGAAGAATCGGATACTTAAATAGTGCATCAATATTAGCAGAGAAGGCAAAATGACAAGCTACCATACCATCCCAAGTTATACTTGGCTTTCTAGTATAAAACTTAAAGTTTGAAAATTTACAACTACGTGACATTTAAAGCAAGACGTAAACCTATATTTTAGTACTAGTTCTGGTAAAGAGCACTTCCCCTTTAATGGGTTTTACGCAGCGTGAATCTGAAAAAGTTGGTGTCCTAATGCTCGTACTGGACACCATGTGGAACTCATAAAAAAAAAGGGGGAGGACAATATATTGGGCAAGCAAGATATCAACAATTTTAGCACATAATAATTGGTTATTTTGCAACATATAAAAACTTTAGTTGATGGAAGACTACTTTATTAAGCAAAAAAGAAAGCTTATTTAGAGAAGGCCTCTAAAACTCACATTAACAAAGCAGGCATGGAAGTGAAGGCGAAGCAAAGAAGCTGCCATTCTCATTTCATCTTTGATCGCACTGTGGTCTGTGGACTTCTTAAGTAACAACTTTAAGTAGAGCTGGACATGCTTTTGCATAGAAATCAGTTGTTAATTGAGACTTCACTACTACAAATAGGATCGGTAGAAAATCACAAGATTGAGAAGAAATTATAATCAGTAATCGTGTGTTTTCACATGTCTGACAAAGCCACAAGTGACTGCATTTATACAATTCACAAAACAATCGAAAAACTAGGTTGAGTATGCTAAATGATAGCTTCTACAAATGACTTAGAGTTCTACTACATGTATGACTATTACATTGAGTTAAATACAAACTCTACAATGCAATCTAACTATTCTTATCTCGTGTAAGCTTATCCTTATCATGATCAGCTTCTTCAACACTTCCCCTCAAGCTAGTGAGGGGTGGAGTTACCACTCCTAGCTTGCTTCGAAAATCTGCAAACATCTACTTAGTCAATGCCTTAGTATGAATGTCAGCTAGCTGATCTTTTGATCTAATAAACCCTTGTGACAAGCTGACCACTAGCAACCTTTTCTCTAATAAAATGATAGTCCATCTCAACAAGCTTTGTTCTGGCATGCATTACTAGATTGACTGTCATATATAGTGCACTCAAGTTATCACAGAACAATGTTGGTGCAGTTTTTAAACGAACTTCAATGTCATTGAGAATATAGTTATCCATATCATTTCAGCTGATGTCGAGGCCAATGCTCTATACTCAGCTTCTGTACTAGACCTTGCCACTGTGTGTTGCTTCTTGGATGTACAAGATATGCAGTTAGCTCCTAGGTAGACATTGTAGCATATAGTTGATCTCCTTGTCATAGGACTCCCTCCCTAGTCTGCATCAGAGAAACCATATAACCTGAATGGTGACTGAGACAAGATACTTAGACCATACTTAGTTGTGCCCTTCACATATCTAAGGATCCTTTTTACATCTTGGTAATGAGTGTTGTTTGGACTTTGTATGAATTGACTTGCCAAATTTACTGCATGAGCTATGTCTGGCCTTGTGAGAGTTAAATACTGCAGACTGCCAACAATACTCCTGTATAGTGAAGCATCCATTGGATTATCCACAGCCTATTGTAGACCAGGCTTCTATGCTAAAGTTGTGCTTATTGGTTTAGCAAGTGCCATGTTATTCTTGGCAAGTAATTCTGCAGCATATTTATTTTGATTCAGATGAATGCCTTCAGTAAAGTAGGTGACCTCGATACCTAAGAAGAAGTGCAGAGGACCAAGATCCTTCATAGCAAACTCCTTTTCTAGTTCACCATTGAGTTATGAAATTAGTGCAGTGTGACTCCCAGTGACAATTATATCATCAACATATATAAGAAGCATGATTGTGGCTCTTTTACAGTGCATCACAAAGAGTAAGGAGTCTACCCTGCTATACTTAAACCCAAGGTTATGCAAATGTAGACTGTACCTGTCAAACCTAGATCTAGGTGCCCGCTTAAGGCCATATAGTGTTTTCTTTAGAAGGCACACACTGTCAGGATGTCTAGGATCTTTAAAACCTGGTGGCTAACTCATGTACACTTCCTCCTATATATGTCCATGCAGAAATACATTCTTTAAATCTAGTTGTCTGATACACCAGTGGCGACTCCCAGCTACTGAGAGAACTACTCTTATAATAGTTACTTTAACAACTCGACTGAAGGTTTCTTCAAAGTCTACTCCTTCAAGCTCTGAATAACCTTTGGCAACTAGTTTTGACTTGTACCTATCAATGGATCCATCATCCTTTAACTTGGTTTTAAACACCCACCTGGAGCCAACTATGTTCATACTAGGTGCCTTGGGCACCAGTGTCCAGGTTTTATTTTGGTGAAGTGTATTTATCTCCTCTTGCATAGCTGCAAGCCATTCTGGTGAGCTAAGTGCCTTATTTATAGTCTGTGGCTCCTTAGCTACTACCAGAAACATGTGTCTCACTAGCATGTGTTTTTTATTTCTATCTTGTCATCATGTGATGCTTATGTGCATTTGATGCATGCTCTGTTATTTCTGCATCATCAATGGATTCTGCTTATGTTGGTATAGCTTGTGTATCCTGATTAGATTCAGTGTTGAACCAAAAGAGACAAGTTAACTTCAAGCTGAATTCCTATGGATCATAAACTGAAAACACATTAGAGTCTGAAGGTGCATTGTCCTAAGCTGAGCTGTTTGATTCTTCACTTGATTCAGTGGACTGAGGTTCAGTTGGGGAATCAGTAGTGATCCAAGAAAAGCTAGGAGTTGCTGCAGTCATGTGATCATCTGTTCCTGCAGGAAATACTACTAAAGGCGATTCAATAGGCTCAGCATTGTAGACAGTTGTTGATTTAGGCTTAGCATTCTCATCAGGAGCATCACCAAGAGCATCAACTGGAGCATCAGGTATGGACCGATCACTTGCTGGTGGTGCATTCACATCAGTTGTGGGCTGATTACCTTGATCAATTAATGGTGATCCATTCAACACTTCCCCTGAATTAGAAGAGTCCACAACTAAGCCTGAGGTATTCTGCAACCTAGAGAAAAACTCATAGAATGTAGCAATATAAGTAGAGTTACGTGAACTGTCTAGTGGTGCACCTGATTACACATAGGGCAATGTGTTTGTAACGACCCGGCTGGTCATTTTGAGTATTACAACCTTACTTCCCCCTTTACTACTCAAATTGTACTTTACAGTTATTGTTTGAATTTTCGGAGTAAATGGTTTGGGTCCGGTGAGGTTATGGAATGAATTGGAACACTTAGTTCCAAGGTATAAAGCTTAAGTTAAATTAGTGACCGGATGTCGACTTATGTGTAAACGATCTCGTAATGAAGTTTTGATGATTCCAATAGCTCTGTATGGTGATTTTGGACTTGGGAGCGTGTTCGGAAAATATTTGGAAGTACGTAGTGGAATTTGGCTTGAAATGCCGAATGTTAAAATTTTGGAAAGATTGACCCGGGGTTGATTTTTTAATATCGAGGTCGGAATTCAATTCTGAAAATTTGAATAGGCCTGTAATGTGAAATGTGGCTTGTGTAAAAAATTTGAAGTCAATCGGACATGATTTGATAGGTTTCGGCATAGTTTATAGAATTTGGAATTTTGGAAATTTATTAGGCTTGAATCCGTGAGTAGTTCATATTTTTGAGGTTGTTAGGTATGATTTGAGGTCTCGCGTAGGTCCGTGTTATGTTATGGAACTTTTTGGTATGTTCGAACGGGGTCCCGAGGGCCTCGGGTGAGTTTCGGACGGTTAACGGATCAAATTTTGGACTTAAGAAAATGCTGGAACTGCTGCCTACTGGTGTGATCGAACCTGCGAAGATTTTGATCGCAGGTGCGAAGCCGCATATACGTGAAATAAGCCGCAGAATTGGCCAAGAGTGGGACTGGGTAGTGCTCGCAGGTGCGAGGAATTTTCTGCATCTGCGATGCCGCATCTGCGAAGGTGTTGGCGCAGATGCGGACTAGGGCTGGCCTGGGGCAAATGCAGGTACGAAGGATTTGCGCATCTGCGAGCCCGCAGATGCGAGAAGGGCGCCGCAGATCCAAGGTTTTGAAAGGTTGGCATTGTCCGCAGGCGCACAATTTGTTCCGCAAATGCAAATGCGCAGGTGCGAGCCCAGGCACCGCAGGTGCGGAAATGCCTAGGCAGTGGTTAAAACGAGGGTTCCGAGATCTTTTCTCATTTTGGAGCTCGGTTTGGGCGATTTTGGAGAGGAAATTTTGCACACAACTTGGGGTAAGTGTTCTTAACTCCCTTGTGATTATATTCCATGAATTAATCTTCATATTTGGTGTAAGATTATTGAATCTTCAAGAGAAATAAAAGGATATTTCTATAATGTCACAAAACGAATGTTTCAAGTTTGAATACCGATTTGGAGTCGGATTTGAGTGAAATTAGTATAGTTGAACTTGTAATTGAATGGGTTGTCGTATTTTGTAAGATTCGTCGGATTTCGAGACGTGGGCCCCACGGGTGATATTTGGGGCGTAATTTCGGATTTTTGTGGAAAATATTAGCATTTTGATATGAAATTAATTCCTATAAATTGTGTGGGCTGAATCAAATTAATTGTTACTATATCTGAACCGTTCGGGAGATGATACGCGCATAATGGGATTTCTAGAGCATTGTTTAGCTTGCTCGACATTGGATTCGACTCGTTTGAGGTAAGTAACTCTTCTAATCTTGGAGTTGAGGGTATGAACCCTGAATATATATATTTTGTGAATTGTTAGGAGGTGACGCACATGCTAGGTGACGGGCGTGTGGGCGTGCACTGTAGAAATTGTGACATAATTATTTCTGTGAAAATTTTATAGTCAAATAATCTTGGTATTTTCCATGTGGTTTTATGTGTTAAAGAAATTGAGCTTAAAAGGATATTAAAAATCATGCTGAGGCTATGTGCCAGTATTATTGGGACCCACAGAGGTCATATTGCTGTGAATTATTGTGTTAAATTGAAAATGCATACTCAGTCATATTCATTTCATTGTGTATCATATCTCAGTCTCTATTGTTATTTATTGATACATCATATCATCATTTTGGGCTAGTTTTCAAGACATTGTGAGCCCGAGAGACTTGAGAGATTGATGACTAAGTGAGGCTGAGGGCCTGATTTGTGAGGATATTTATAGGATTGGGTTGCACGCCGCAGCATATTTCATATTTATGGGATTGTGCTGCACGCCGCAGTATGTTTGACATCGGCCGAGGGCCTGATTGTGAGGATGAGTGTGGATCGGGGTTTCCCGCCTGTAGCATACTTTATTATTATAACATATGAGTTGTCCGTGCAGCACGTGAGTTATCCGTGCAGATTATAGTGCTTGGGCTGAAGGAGCCCCTCCGAAGTCTGTACACACCCCCAGTGAGCGCAGGTACCTGCTGAGTGCGAGTGCCTAGTGTTGAGTGACGGGGAGGCAAGAGTGATTGTGAGGTATGCCCAAGTGGCAAGAGTAATTGTGAGGTATGCCCGAGTGGCACGAGTGACTTTGAGCTTTCCCCGAGGGGCTGTATATGAGTGATGTTTTGCCCGAGGGGCTTTTTATGATTTTATCACTAAGTTGCATTGCATTGGCATGCACACATGACATACAAGCATAGAGAGATATTTCCTCATGCTGTACTACATCACATCATTCATGATGTCTCACACATTATTTTTACAGATGGGCATAGTGATGCATTTGTTTTACACGGGTTATCCGGAAGGGAAATGAAACATCTTATTTATTATTGAAAAGATTTTTGGGAGAAATTATTGTTTTCAAACTATTCATATTTTTGGAAACTTCGGAAAATGATTTGGGTTTTCACTAATGTATTTGAAAGGAAGAACTATTATTTTTGAAATCATGATTTGGCTGAGCATTTTATCTCTGAGTTACTTCTGGTATTATTTTCTTTATGTTATTATGGACTGTTGTGGACTATTGGTTATGGATTCGACCTTGGTAGAAGCTCGTCACTACTTTCAACCTACGGCTAAGTTTGTTACTTACTCAGTACATGGGGTCGGTTGTACTGATACTACACTTATGCACATTGCGTGCAGATGTTGGCTGTTGTTGTTGTTGTGCTCGATGGTTGCGGGACTTGAAGATGTACCTGCGTTCCTGTTGTAGCTTCCTCTTGTTCAGGGTAGCCTTAGATTTATAAAAGCTCTGTTTATGTATTATTCAAACAGACTACATATTTATTTCATTTCCGCTTTGTATACTGTATTCTTATAAGCTCGTGATTTGTATTACCAGTTCTTGGGAATTGTACAAGATTTAGACCTTTATTCACTTAAATTGCTTTAATAATTATTATTGCAATTTGATAGTTGGTAATTGGCTTACCTAACGGGATGGGTTTGGTGCCATCATGACTAGTTGGATTTTGGGTCATGACAAGGTGGTATCAGAGCTCTAAGTTCATAGGTTCTACAAGTCACGAGCAAGTGTCTAGTAGAGTTTTGCGGATTGGTATGATGACGTCTATACTTATCTTCAAGAGGCTATAGGGCATTTAGGATATATACTTCCCATCTTTCTTTCCTTATCGTGCGAGATTGATTCAGCTTGAGACATAACTCTTTGAATTCCTTCCACGTATTCGTATGCGCACATGAGTGCTTGGTATCAGTTGTGCATCGCCGGCTTGTGATTTTATAAACGAGGTTCAAGATGTGTATTCTGTGTTTTGGTGATGGGCCAGTTTGGAGGACTTGAGGCCAGGTTTAGACCGCAGCTTAGGCTCGGTAGCCTTAGTTGTAACCTGTACATTTGGACTCATATGTCCGGTAATATCCCTATGAGTGGAAGTTGTGGCTCGATGAGCGGCAGAATGACTTTGTGATAAGTATGATGTAAATGTGGGATGTGTTAAGACGATTTGAATATGAAGAGAAATGTTTCCTTAAAATGTAAAGGAAAGGCCATTGGGTGCTTGATTTTCGAATTGATGTGACGTACAGTCTCTAGTATGAATGTTTTGAAGGGTCTTTCACATTGTTAAATTTTGGGGTAAAACTAAATTCTCACATCTGGTTAATGAGTTTGGACTCAGATAGACTAAGTGATTGCATAGTAATTGTGAATGCGAAAGGGTATAACAAGATACCAGATTAAAGCTAAGCAGGTGGATTATCCCCTGCGGAGTAATCTATGTAGGAGTATTCCTTATGATGTGAGTGGAGAGTTTCTTTTCTGCCAACGGGGTGCATGGGTGGAGATTTGAATCTGAATCTGAATCTAGTTGAGAAAGTTGACTTGTGTGTTAAGAGGATGAATATGAGCTTAGCGGATGATTGAGGTATTTTTATGGTTGGCGTTGTATGAACTTGGGAGGAAGTTTCGTTGGACTGACTATGTCATTATGGCAGTAAGAGAGTATTGGTATTGTGAGTTATGGAATGCTTTAATCTATGGATTTGAG